TAATAGTGCAACTTTAAATATGGGAAGAAACAACAAGGGGAAAACATTTCCTGGATCATAATAGAGTAGTAAAACAGAAGATCCAGAGGATTTTAGGTTGTTTAGGTTAATAGGGCCTAAGCCAGATATAGCATATGAATGGCCTATCACTAAGATCCTTGCCTGACCTAGGAATAAGCATTCCTAGGGCTGTGGGACAAATTGGTCATGAAATGTCTCCCAAGCCTTGGTCAAATTTATGACCAACATGGGGCACTGTAAACAACAAAAAAATGTTGCTTGTCCTTTTAGTTCTATAGGATCAAGCCATTAGCTCCTGCAGTTGCCTACCAAAACTGAGCCTGAAGGGAATTCAGGATGGAGAAAAACAGGAAGCATTTTGTGCTTTGGATACCAGCCCCTAGATAATTAAGGTACATACCTAAGGAAATATTTCAATGACCTCAGATTCTTGCATCTTCCCATACATAGAAAAGCACTAAAATCATTAATTTGAGATGTCTGTTTTTGTGATTAGAAGTAATCTTTTGATGTTTTGACTACGTTTCTTTTTCCTGCAAAAAAATTCATATATATTCTGACTCCTTCCTTACCTCTTTTTTTTTTTTGCTGCACCTAGTGGCATGTGATCTTAGTTCCCTGACCAGGGATCCAACCCGTGCCCCCTGCATTGGAAGCGTGGAGTCTTAACCACTGGACTGCCAGGGAAGTTCCCCTTCCTTACCTCTTTAGAACAGTTTCTCAGAGCTATCTGAGAGGCTGTCTCTTAGGCTATAGTCCTCCGTATGACACAGAATAAACTCAACTCACAACTCTTACGTTGCACTTTTTTTTTTTTGCGGTATGTGGGCCTCTCACTGCTGTGACCTCTCCCGCCGCGGAGCACAGGATCCGGACGCGCAGGCTCAGTGGCCATGGCTCACGGGCCCAGCCGCTCCACGGCATGTGGGATCTTCCCGGACCAGGGCACGAACCCGCATCCCCTGCATCGGCAGGCGGACTCCCAATCACTGCACCACCAGGGAAGCCCTGTTTTTTTTTTTTTTTAAGTTGACACTCATATTAAATTTCTATTGGACAGTTCTGGTTATAGCATAGAATTAGCTCTGGTTAGAGAATAAAATTCTAGGTTGAGAGTGCCAAAAAATTAAATTAAAATCAAACAAAGAGGCTATATATACAGAAGAAGCCGGGGTGCTCAGGCCTTGAACATCACACAGGGAGAGTCACTAGGACCCTGAGCAGGGAAGGAAAGGAAATGTCAGCTGTGTGCTTTGGAAAATCACTGTGGCAGTGAAATGGGAGAGACCAGGGCAGGGCGAAAACCGGAGGCAGGAAAACTCATGGAGCAAAAATGAAATATCAGTGAGTGACCAATCTGCCTTCCAACCTACAGGATCTGCTCTTGGGATTCTTATCTTCGCTGTGCCTTGGGCCCTGTGGCAGCCTGGTAGATCCTTTCTCAGATAAATGTCTTTACATACAGAAAATAAAATACCCAGGATTACAAAGGAAACCAATGACTGAAATACAGGTGTCACTGTAAAAATCTGTGATGTGGCAATATGTGTACTTCTTTACTGACACTTTAAATAAGATGTAGCAGCAGGTCTAACAACTATTGTAATTTTTTTTTTTTTTTGGCTGCGTTGGGTCTTCATTGCTGCATGCGGGCTTTCTCTAGCTGAGGCGAGTGGGGGCTACTCTTTGTTGTGGTGCACGGGCTTTTCATTGAGGTGGCTTCTCTTATTGTGAAGCACGGGCTCTAGGCGCGCGGGCTTCAGTAGTTGCAGCACATGGGCTCAGTAGTTGTGGCTCGTGGGCTCTAGAGCACAGGCTCAGTAGTTGTGGCACACGGGCTTAGCTGCTCCGCGTCATGTGGGATCTTCCCGGACCAGGGCTGGAACCTGTGTCCCCTGCACTGGCAGGCGGATTCTTAACCACTGCGCCACCAGGGAAGTCCACAATTACTGTAATTTTGAAGTATTTATGAACATGAATGATATTTTGAGCAACAGCTATATGAGACACAACGATATCTGTGTTTCCATTAGTGGTGAAGCCACGGTACTGCTAACACTGCTGTGATCTGTTGCCTACATTTATACTCAAAGGAAATGCTAAATTTTAGTGAGTGGTTAATGAAAACGACTGTCACAGACCACCTTGAATTCTATCCATGACCCCTTAGGGAATCTATGGATCAAGGGTTAAGGACCCTTGTGAGATGTTCCCAGGCTTCCCTCAGGAGTCAGTTTAGGTCCCTCTAAGATGGGAACGTGCAGGAAGTATGGTAACAGTTGGACGCTGTCTTACTTCCAGGATTTATTTATTCCCATGACCACATCTACAACAGCATATTAAGGCAGCAGACACAATGGCCCAGAAGATGTCTTAATGGAACACTGGGTTTCCTCGGGTTATGGTTAGAACCCATGTCTTTTTCTCAATGAGGATAATGATGACAGGAACAGGCCCAGGAGACCCAGAGGGAAGACTGTTTGTTGGGGTTTTTCTTTAGTTCTCAGGTGAGTTTATTCTTGCAGGGAGGAAGTCATCCATCTCGCCGGAAGGAATTTAGTTACAAAACAAAACCAGAAAGAGACAAATACTGTAGATTCCACTTACATGAGATATCTACAGCAATCAAATTTATAGAAACAAAGTAGAATGTTGGTTCTTAGGGGTCCAGGGTGGGGAGAAAAGAGGAGTTATTTAATGGCTATACAGTTTCAGATCTGCAAGATGAAAAAGTTCTGGAGGTCTGTTTTGCAACAATGTGAATATATTTAACACTACTGAACTGCACTTAAAAATGGTAAAGATGGGGCTTCCCTGGTGGCGCAGTGGTTGAGAGTTTGCCTGCCGATGCAGGGGACACGGGTTCATGCCCTGGTCCGGGAAGATCCCACATGCCACGGAGCGGCTGGGCCCGTGAGCCATGGCCGCTGAGCCTGTGTGTCCGGAGCCTGTGCTCCGCAACGGGAGAGGCCACAACGGTGAGAGGCCCGCGTACCGCAAAAAAAAAATGGTAAAGATGGTACATCTTTTTTTTCCTTAATAATTTTTTTAAAATTAATTAATTTATTTATTCTTTTATTTTTGGCTGCATTGGGTCTTCGCTGCTGCACGTGGGCTTTCTCTAGTTGTGGCGAGTGGGGACTACTCTTTGTTGCAGTGCGCGGGCTTCTCATTGCGGTGGCTTCTCTTGTTGCAGAGCACAGGCTCTAGGCATGCGGGCTTCAGTAGTTGTGGCTCGCAGGCTCAGTAGTTGTGGCGCACAGGCTTAGTTGCTCTGCGGCATGTGGGATCTTCCCGGACCAGGGCTTGAACCCGTGGCCCCTGCATTTGCAGGTGGATTCTTAACCACTGCATCACCAGGGAAGCCCAAGATGGTACATCTTATGTGGGTTTTTTTTTTTAATCACCATAAAAATGGTTAAAACTGCAAAACAAACAAACAGGACGCTCAGAGCCTAATTCTGGCTCAACTTCTAATTGTCACGAAGCTGGACAGCCTCAAATGCAGGCCTGGTTCTACCCAGTACCTGGAGTTTCTCGAGGTTTTAAAGGTATAAAAACGCTTTTGAAAATGAGGACCCAAGTGTTGTCTATTTTTAAAAATTCTACTATATAATGATAAAGCTCATCTTTACAATTCTGGGTACTGATTTCCACAGAACGGACTAAGACAATCCCCTAAGACTAATAATAACATCAAACACTTAATTAGCGTTAATTCTGTGCCAGGCACTAGTCTAAGCACTTTATACATACTTGACTCACTTAGTCCTCATAACAATCCCATGGTGGATGTCCTATTTTTATCCCCACTTTATAGATAAGGAAACTGAGGCACGGAGGACTAGTAAGTGGCAGAAGTGAGGTTCACAACAGGTCATTCGACTCCAGAGTCAAACCATAAGCACCTGAGGCAGGGATCGGGATTTTTATCTCTCAATTCCAGCGCTGAGATAGTGCTGACTCACAGTAAATGAATCAGGTGGCAACCATTTATTGAGCAATCGGTTACGATAGAATTGTGAGGCGTTTTTACCATGCAGCAGTTCTGAAGAAGAAAGATATTGCTGTCTGCTTCCTCTACTATTATTTTTTTAAACTTGGTAAGGAGAAACTTTGTTGGAAAGAGGCGTGTGGGGCAGTGTACTGTCCTAGCGGGTTGTGGGGATACGGCAACAGTGGGGAAACTACCTCGACCATAAGATCCCCCAGCATCTCCCTCTACTAATCTTTTCAAAAAATGATTAAAGCAATGCTCCTAACTCCCCCAGCATTTGGAACTGATGGTCACTGCCAAAGACTCTAACCTACCCCACCACCTGGTTGTCTCCTGTACTCTGGAGGAGTGGGAAAAGGAGTGAATATGAAGAGACAGAAAAACAACAAGGTTCTACTGTGTAGCACAGAGAACTATATTCACTGTCCCACGATAAACCATAATGGAAAAGAATATAAAAAAAGAATGTACATACATATGTATAACTGCATCACTTTGCTGTACAGCAGAAAGTAACACAACATTGTAAGTTGTTAAAAAAACCTCAGTTAAAAAAAAAAAGAAAAAGAAGAGACAGAAAGTCCTGTCTCCAGACCAACAATGAATTCTAGGAACTGGTCTAAAACTAGGTATGTGGCGGAGAGAAATAGGAAAAGACCCTAAAAGTCACCAAAGAAAATCGCAGGATGACCTTAAAAGGGTAGGGAGTGGAGGGCAGCTCTCCATCGCTTAGTAGCCACATTCTGCCACCTTAGGAGGAAGAGCTGCGTTTCTAAACGTAACAGGCTGAGTCTGGCCAGGTCCACAAAGCTACTGACACACGTGTGCCAAACACCAGCAGCATTTCAGACAACTGTAGCCAGAACATGTGCCCCCCACGCAGCACACAGAGGATGCTGGTGGGAAGAGATAGGGGCTCAGGCCACAGCAGGGGGTCACTCCATTTTCTCGCTGGTATGGCAGGGAGGGGGTCGGGACTCACCTGTAGGTGTAGGGCCCCACTTCTTCCAACCGAGGGGTCTCCCCTCTGAGGACCTCCTCTGGATTGGTGACATTGAAGAAATAGAACTGGGTGTGCACGGGCAGAGGGGGCTTCCTCCAGGACTCAAAGGTCTCCGAGCCATTCCTTAACACAACATTCTAGGGGAGAAAACCAAAAGGGGATTTACGTAGTGTAAGGCAGTTGGCTTTGAACACAGAGGCAGAACGAGGGACACCCTGTCCTTTGACCTCCCGGCTCACTTATTTTTTCCACAGGCATTCAGCTGCTGTTCCTTGGGAGCAGGGACATGCCTTACGCCAATATGAAGCCCACAGCCCTCAGAAGCCATAACAGGTTTTCTATAAGTATCTGTGGTAAAGAAAGGATGCTAGAGCCATAGCTCATGGGTGGAAACATGGTGTCACCAAAACCAAGGCCACAGTCTGAGTACCCGAAAGGCCTTATTTGCTTCGTCACAAAGAGACTACTGATCGGACAGCTTCCGTGGAAGTCAGGCCACTCTGAGAAGCTCCATACACTCCCAGCTCGCCCGTGTGAGAGACCAGGAAGAGAGGCCCCAGAAGGTTACTTTGGTTCTTCCATTTGAGGCAGAACCACACCCAGCTCTACCACTTTCACCACCAGGGGCTTCACACGCATTTTCTCATCTAATCCCCAACAAACCCCTAACATAGGTTTGCATATCCCTGTTTTAATGGTGAGAAAGCTAAGCCACACTGAGGTTAAGTGCTTAGGGTATTCTTTGTCTACAATCCTTCCTTTGTTTCCCACCCTTACCATGGATTATGGTCTAAATTGTGTCCCTGCCACCCGCCCCCCCAAAAAAATTCATATATTGAAGTCTTAACCCCTAGTACCTCAGAATGTGACTGTATTTGGAGATAGGGTCTTTAAAGAGAAATTAAAGGTTAAATGAAGTCATTAGGATGGGCTGTCATCCAACATGACTGAGGCCTCAGAAGAAATCAACCCTGTTGACACCTTGATCTCAGACTTCTAGCATCCAGAACACCGTGAGACAATAAATTTCTGTTGTTCAAGTCACCCAGTCTGTGGTATTTGTTATGGCAGCTCTCGCAAACTAATACACCATGGCCCCTCTATGGAAGGAGAATCCTTCCCACCCTACAGACTTCAGGTGTGGCAAGTGACTTGATTTGATTAACAGAATGTGAGTGGAATGGCAAAGCGCCAACTTCGAGCTGAGGCCTTAAGAGGCATATGGCAAGTTTCCACCAGCCACCCTCTGTTGCCCTGTCCCAGGTAGTTGGTGATCCTTGAGCCAAGGCCCTAAAATGGTAATGTGTAGACCAGACATGAAGCCAGGAGTCCAGCCTAAGTCGGCTGACCCAGCTAAGCTCAAACTGCAGCCAACCTGGCCGTAAGGAGTTATGGAGTATATGTTACTATTATAAGCCACTGAGATTTGGGGGTTGTTTGTTATCCAGCATTGCAAGAGAAGCCTGATTAATACAGCACCCAAAGTTAAGAGACAGAAAGCTAACATTTAGTAGTTAACTTGTTAATAAAGAAAAACTGCATTTTTAAAGTTAAGATTACTGAAGTACTCGAGAAGGATAAAAGCATAGACAGAATAAATAAACCAGAATGCAAACAGTGACTAACTCTGCATGTTGGAATTTGGGTCATTGTTATTTTCTCCTGGATGAGATTCTGTATTTTCCAAATTTTTATAATGAATAAAAAAAATTAACACTGAGAAAAATTTTTAAAAGAGGAAAATGGGATCTGCTGATAAAGACAATGTAGGGCCACTAGTAACACAGCACCTAGATTGCAAGAGAAGCAACCCCTGATATCACCTGTCATTCCTCTAGCAGTGAGGATTTGAATGACAGTCAACAGAGGGACGGCTTCAAAACATGACAGAAATCACATGCTAAAACATCCCGTGACACAGAACACAACAGGATGCCAATTTTTAGTAGTCCAGCCCTCCAATTTAATAGAAGCAATGTTGCAAGGGAACTTAGTGATGTAACTCTATTATTCAATGGAAAATATCCCAAGAATCTCTGCAGGGAAAAACAAAGTGGAACCAGAATAAATGGATGCAGAAAACCTAAGCTTGTCAAAGCAAAAACAGTCATCTGGAGGGCTGGAAGTCAATTCACATCCATGAGTCAGCCATGTCATAGAACTGGGGACTCTTTGTGGTTTGGCATCAGTTCAGAACATCTAATCATCAGATTTCTAGCCAAACAACACATTACTGAAATATTCTTGGCCTTTCCTGTCAGTACTGATTTACTGAGTTGAGATCAGATTGTTGAGATAGAAAAGTTTAAAGACAAACCACGAAACCCCTTTCCTCCAAACTCCGGGTCCAGCTCAGACTCTCTCCTTTGTGAAGCCCTCCCCGCCTGCCCCTGCACACATTACTCTCTCCCTGCCCTGGCCATAGAGCAGCCTAACCGATCATTTTAGGCAGTTTTTTTTAAAGAGTTTCATGGTCTTTTATCTTATCTTCTAAACAGGAGTCTTAGCTATCTGGGGAGGAACAAGGGAGAGAGTCGGTCCGGAGAGAGAGGGCAGCATACCTGGAGAGGCTTACCAGATGGAACCCAGAGGCCCTGGCAGGGTAAGGAAGGGCCTGTGGTCAAGGCTGTACACCTGCTTCATCTCAGAACTGGGTCTGGAACCCAGTGCCCCTTTCCTCCACTCTCCCACCCCACCTCAGCATACAACATTTTAATAAAATGGGTATAAACCTACTACACATTTTAGTTATACAAGTTATATGGTAGAGTTTCTCTGGTATAAGGTATACACACAGCACCTAGAAACAGCTCAGTAACATGAATATAACCTACCTAAAACTAGTATGTTAACTATGAGAAGTGTAACACATAAATAATAATTATTTGTCTTCTAGAGGATTTTGAAGGCCCACAGATACCTTCAAAGTCATCTAATTTCATGAAAATGAGTCTCTTTTTTGGGACTTCCCTGGTGGCACAGTGGTTAAGACTCCATGCTCCCAATGCAGGGGGCCTGGGTTCAATCCCTGGTCAGGGAACTAGATCCCACACGCATGCCGCAGTTAAGAGTTCGCATGCCACAACTAAGGACCCCACCTGCCGCAACTAAGACCCAGTGCAACCAAATAATAAATACATACATACATAAAAAAAAAAAAGAACCTCTTTTCCTTATCCAGAAATTTCCAGAAAAAGGCAGGGCAATAATTTCTCCTCCTCCATGAATTCCTTGAGTACCCTCCCCTTAACTGGATGGGTCATCCCTTCCTTTGAACCCTATAACACATTACATAGGAATTTCTTAGGAAAAAAAGTGCTCAGGACAGAAAACATCTTCTAAAAATTAAGGTTAATTGGAATCGACATGAAGCAGTGATATTAGCAACCAAAAATGAGAAGGAAAGTGCAGCTACTATATTGGAACATATTAAGTTAACAGTTGGCTTCTCAAAACAGAAGGTGCTGACCTACAAAAAAAGAGCAGGGTTTTTTTTTTTTTTTCTTTACTCCTCCCCACTCCTCAAGGACAATGCAGGTTTTGGAGAAATATTGGTTCAATCAACTAAATATAGTACTAGAAAACTATATATTCCGTCAACTTTGCTTATAAGATGCTGGGAGAGAAGAAATTGATGTGAGACAACCAGAGAAGAGCAGAAGAAAGGCATGATCAGTCAAAGACAAAGCCACAGTCAAGCTACAAGTCCAAGGAGCCTTTAAAGTGTACCCAGAGGAAGTGGTTGTTCCCTAGCCATTTCAGCCACATTCAGATACAGAGAAAGCAATTCAGATACAGATTCACTAGAATCAGAAACACATAGATCTAGCACCTATTAGTTTGTGTGTCTTATCGGTAATCCAGCACGCTAAAGGGCTAAGTGCAGCCAGTTCCTTTTGTGGGTGGAAAGAAAAATCTGTGTGTCTCTGTGATCCCTTTTCCTAACAACTATTTAAAGCAGTGCTATACCCACGGTTTTCTAGCAAAGTGTGGAACTATACATGCAAATCATCCAAACACTGTCTGTGCCAGGCGTTGCAGGTAGGAGATACCCAGCAACACAGATATGGCTTCTGTGTTCCAGGAGTTTACCCTCTATTTGGGGAATGGTGATTCGCACATGCAAGGTAATCAACAATGGAAAGTAGCCCGTAATAAATGGTCAATGAGTATACCAGGCAATGGTCTCCATGGTGTTCAGACAATGGATTCTACGAACTGAGATGGAGACAGGTAGTGCTTAAAGTGAGCGAGGAAGAATGAATAAAAATTTGGCAAGCAGAGGAGGTCCGTGGGGGTGGGCTCCTTACGGATAGCTGGGGTTGATTCGACTATCCTGTGTGGCTGGACAGAGCGAGCCCTTCCTCACTGCCTGTTCCATGTCCATCTCTCCTGGAGCCCTCTACTTAATCAGAAAGAGTGGACGTGGAGAATGAGACAGTAAAAGATACAGAGGAGGGACGGTATTAGATGTGACTGGGTGTGGGTTTTCTAGGGAGCAGGGAGATTGATTTAGAGAGGTAGGTTGGGGTCCCAGGAGTCTAGATTTTATATGATATATAAGGAGGGGGAATGGAAGGTTTCTGAGCTGCAGAATACTATCAAGAGCCAGGCATTATGTTGCCATTTTATCTCATCTAATCCCCTTAATAGTCTACAAGAGGGAAATCATCGTCCCCATTTTACACCTCAGGAGACCAGAGCTCAAAGAGGTTAGGTGAATGCCTGAGGTTTGCTAGCAGAGGGTGCAGCCAGCCTCCCACCCCAGGACTCACTGCAAACCTGTGCTCCCAGCAAGGCTGAATTTGGCCGGAGCCTCACGCCCCTGGAAAACAGTAATGGTTCGCGAATCTCTGCTTCCGTGTTCCGGGAAATGGTTGACTGCAAAGAAACACCCTTCCCCATGTGACTTGGATTCACAGATGTCTCTCTTGTTTACCTAAGACAAGGCTAGGCACTGACCCTCCAGATTCCCATTTCTTGCCTCATCATGATTAGCTGAACAGCTTGACCCCACTGATCGATGGGAGTGAAATGCCGGTACAGCACGGTGACCATAGTTAATAACACTGTACTGTACACTTGAAAGTTGCTAAGAGAGTAGATCTCAAGTGTTCTCACCACACACACAAAGAAT